TATATATATATATATATATATATATATATGTGTGTGTGTGTGTGTGTGTGTGTGTGCNCGTGCGCACATGTATATATATACACATATATGCATACAACCTCAAGTAAGTTTATAACAACCTTTTTTTTATTTCTGTGTTTTATTTTTGAAAAATATAAAAAAATCAGTTTTTCAGGATTTTTGAAAGAAATGATTCTATTTTCAATCAGCACAATAGTTTGTTTCTTGTATTCAATTTAATGGTTGTTTTTGTTTTAATAACTTTATTGTTGTTACTTGTGACAGATTTGCTTGATAGGGCGATTCACTACAGTAAATGAGAAAAATGAGACTGTAGGACCATGATAAGAAGTGGACTTGGAAATCGCCAGAGTCCCTACAGTGAACCGGGCCAGATAGACTAATTCATTGCAGTAAGAATTAACCCCTTTTGGACAACCTTGCAAATATCCCGGTTAGGGACCAAGGGACCTCCTCAAGTTCGAGCTATCTTGGGTGATTCCAAGTCAGCTCACTAGTTTTCAAGCACTGATTTGCCATGACCATGAAAACAGATACAAAAATCATCAGCAGGTGGTCCTTATCTAGAAAATATCACAAAGCAAAAAATCAGTATAATCCAACTTTTGAAACTCCCCCTAGGATTGGGATCCTGTTAAACCGAAATACACCCCAAGGTCACGATCCCCCTTCCATAGGGTTCAAGATCCCTATGGTTGTGATCCCCCTTCCATGGGGTTCAAGATCGCTATGGTCGCATTCCCCCTTCCATGGGGTTCAAGATCCCTTTTAGTCAGGGACGCAATCCCCATAAGATAGGGATAGAGATCCCTTGATGAGAAGGAGCAAGCTCCATTTGGGCTTCAGCTCCGGTATCGTCGGAGTGAGATTCCAAATGGGGATCAACATCCCCCCATCTATGATCTGCTACAACCCACCATAACCAATTTATGAGGATTTGTGAGTAGTAATAGTTATCAAATGCACAAAAACTGTCCTTTAGCTGGCAGCAAAAACATAAAGACAAAATTAAATGGTCAGGACGCACCTGTAGAAGTAGTTCATCATAACCTCTATAAACTTTCTATCACTTGATTTCCCATACAAGCGTAGACGTTTTTCTATTTCAATGTCAGCCAAGTAGGAGCACCTTCCCGAATCATTAGAAACCTGCATGTTCAACTTTTCTACAAAATCTAATGCTCTTGATATGCGTGAAGCAAACTGCATGAGAATTTTTACTAATCAAAGATCCTCGTTGTGACTCATTGCAAAAAAATTGCAACCGATAAAATTCAATTGGCAAAGAGTAGTGGGAATCGTGAACTAAGATTATGAATGAAGATACCAAAGATAAATACCACTTCATTTGTTAGATGAGTTGCCTTCTGCAAGTTAAGATCAACATATGTGGTGGGCTGGACTCCATTCACAATGACCCCTTTATAGAAACCGCTATCAGCCTCCAGCAAACAATCTAAATAATGTAGAAACATTTCCCAATCATCAGGGCTGCACAACAAAAGGCATAAGAATCAATTACATGGAGGACTTGAAGGAACCTCAATATGCACAAGCAAAAATTACAATAGCCATAGAAACATACATGAAAAGAAAACAAAAATCCATACCAAGCACAATCCACTTTTGATGGTTATTAGTTCTTACCATCGATAGAAGCCCTACGGACAATCACATCACTGTAGAATTTGAACTCTTCAGTGTTCGCATAACAGTAGTCTTTGTGAGAGGAATGGTTCAGAAGAACATATCAACCGGTGGTGAAACGGCGATACATTTTGAAATTACATAAATGGCATCCATGATAAGGACCTATCTTAATAAGTTATAAATTAAAAAATCAAGTTACTCAATTATAAATTAAAAAATCAAGTTACTCAGGCACAAAAATCATACTTAACGAATCTGTTCAGTGTCAACCCTTGCTTGGGTCTGCCTTAAGCACCAAGGATAACACATGCGTGCAGATTTCCTAAGGTATCCAACCGAGCTGTTTATTATGCACCATTTTTTCTCAATACTCATCTGGAAATTTTAAAGCCATCTGCAATTTTTGGGGGCCCACAAATCCCTCTAAGGACTCAATCTAACCATCAATCAAAATGGATGACCCTAAAAAGTATTTTCTAGGTTTTTTAAAAAAAAAAAAAAATTCATTAGCTCATTCACAAGGATTAATACTGTCACGTACGAAAATTAGGGTAAAAAAATACCCTCTAGCTGGGTGTTTTTAAGTGTTTATATGCCATAGCTAATGCTGTAGAAAATTAGCTCATGGCCTCATTGAAGCATGCACACATTCAAATATGTTTACACCTAAATGGAGACCACAGCGGATTTCAAGATAAGGGACCCTAGAAAGATCAGCAACAACACTTACTACAAAGAAAAAAAAATTACGTACTCCTAAACTGCAACTAAATACAAAGATTGTCAGATCAAGGAAAGTAAATCAAAGCAATGTAACACATGATGCAACATCTCCTATCCAAGCACAACTCAAGCAAAATGCAAGCAGAGTCAGAAGTGATGTTCCTAAATGGAGACGTAGGTATCATGCAGGAGCAATTCGGTTCAGCGTTTCCTTTTTCCGTCTATCAACAAGTGACTGATTTCATTAAAATAAAAAACAGTACAAAGAACAAAGGCAAACAAGCCAAAACAGATCTTGAGGAGGAGGTACAAAGAATACTCCCCGACTCGAAGGGAAGCTGGGTACAGGCCCAAGCCTAGCCAGGGTTGGCACAAGCTCAGCACGGCCTGGACCAAGCCCAAGGGGCCTTGGCCCACACCCAACCCTGAACCGGCCCAGGCTGCGCCAAGCCTAATAGACTCAAAGAAAAGAAAATATGAGGAAAACACCGAGCCAGGCCCACCATCCCCGCCATGGTCCTGGCCCTAGTCTAAGCCCAGCTGAGCCCTCGGGTTGTGGTGACCAGGCCCTCAGGCCACAAAATGTGGCCCAGGCCCAAGTTTTTCAAGGCCGGCTGACTGGGTCACCCGGCCCAATACCAGCCATATCAAAGGGCTCGTCTACACCTCCCGTCATTAGAGAACTAGCCATAGAGTTGATCATCCAAAAAAATGGGAGGAGATGTGATTGTCCAAGCCAAAATTGAGGTCTTCTTCAAGAATCCTCCCTACATCCCACACAAGCTTTGAGTCTCTTGAATACCGAACTGAACACATTCACCAAGTCACCATCCATAATGAACAGGGCCAACTAATCAAACGAACAATTTTAAGTCTTATAAACAAGGCCATGGCATCTACCACCTCAGAATTGCAAAGTGTAACAAATTATTGCCCCATTATCATCACATCTTATAACCCCACTCTAGACTGTGTTGTATTACCTCGCAAGCAACCATCAAAATTAAGGTTAAAGGACTCCAACATAGGCGAACACCATTCCAGGCTCTCAATTGGAATATCAGGGTGAATGTCAGTCAATAGCCACAATCGCCATTGAGGGCCCAGTCTATATTTCGAAAGTGGTTTGAGGCAGGCTTTGCAAAGACACCACTTTTCGCTCAGAAGCAGAGGAGTGAGTGGAACAATACAGTGAGCTCAAAAATTGGGGGGAAACATAGGCGTGCACAAAAGGCAAGTAAATTGGGGACATGGAAGTACTTCAAGAAGAGGAATCTATTGGTGCTTAGGACCAAAAGTCAAGTGCTAGAGGCCAAGGTACACAATAGCATAAGGGAAGACCTAGCCTTGTGCGATTTTATGCCAACTTGAGGTTGTCAAAATCTTTCTCTGTTATATGTACTTTATTGAGGAAACAGAAAAATAATAATAATCAACGAATATTTCAGATTCATGCAACCAATCTGGAGTTGACTCAAGTATGGAGATGAGTAATCAACCAAGAAATCTGTAAAAGTTGTTAGTTTTAAAATTTTGATGAATAGATAGAATTTCAAATTGTCAACCAGTCAAAAAAATAATTTTTTTTTTTTTAAGAAGTTTTCCATAAATAATTATTATAATTTTCAAAAAAAAAATTATAAAAAATAATTATTATAATTGATGGTTAAATTCCATAAACATGGCTCAAGAAATTTACACATGAACAGTTGAAAACCATCAGTATAAAAAGTGGACCGCTTAAGCCTGGTCCTGAAGACAATCCTAACCCTAGGCAACTCATCTTGGGTGAGGCAGCCCAACTAAGAATGGCCAACCCAGGCAGGCGCCTGCCCCAAACCAGCCAGCCCAAGTGCCAAAAATTCCTTGAAAAATGGGTAGCAGTCACTTCTGCCACTTTTAAGCAATTAAAAGAAAGGGAGGGCGGTGTTATTCCTAAACTCCCCTAGCTCTCTTCTTTTTGTTGCTGTTCTCTTACAACCCCATAACTCTCCAATCCTAGCTTTGTGCGTAAAACACATCAAATACTTTTTGAAGAGTAGTACTTTCTATTTTCTTTTGAGGTGGTTTTTGGATCCCTACGGACTCTTGTGTGCATTGAATTGATGCATGATGTCAGCGGCCCCTAGGCGGCAGGCCTGGTACGCAGCGCCTAGGCCAGGTGCCCTATAGTACAAAATATATATATAT